TGAATCACTGTGTTTGAGGATCACTACATCTGCACCCTCCATTATAGGTAAGCTCCCAGAAGAAACATTTAAACTAAAACCTCAAATTACTAGAATAAACAAGTTGAGGCAGACCTGATGACTCATGCCTGCAATCCCAGCACTCAGGAGGAAGACGAAGAGTTTGAGTCCAACCTGGGCTACATGTCTATCTCAACGGATGAAAATGAAGGAGTGAATAAGTCCTACAAAGAGTAAAAGAAGCACTGTTTTAGATAAATTCATTTACCTAGAGGTAGAAAGGCTAGTATGGCTTTGATGACTGAGTGAACGGTAGAGACGGTGGTGGTGACGCAGTCTTCAGGATGGGTCAGGTGATGGCCAGCCTCACCTGTCACCTAGGAAGAGGACCTCAATGAAACACTGTCTAGGTAAAGCTGTTCTGTGGACTTGTCTGTGGCTGTCATGACCGCCAGAATTGAGCTGGGAAGAACTAACCCACTGTGGGCAATACCATTCCTCAGGGTTATATCCTGAACTGTTAAAGGGTAGAGAAATTGGGGCTGTAAAGATAGCTCAGTGGTTAAGAACATTATTGCTTTTTATAGGGGACCAGGGCTCAGTTCCCATCATCCATGTAGTGGATCACAACTGCCTGTAACTCCAGTTCTTTTTCCAGGCTCTCTTCCAGCCCACAAGGACACACCAGCATTGGTGCACATAAATTCATGAAAGCATGTATTTTAAAAAAAGATAAATGATAGATAAAAAGATGATAGATAGATGATAGGATCTTTAAACAACACGTAGAGAAATGGTGCCGAGTAGAACCAGCATTTATAGCCACTCCTCTCTGCTCTTCACTGTGGATGTAACTGAGGCTTCAGGTTCCAGCCACTGCAACATCAACATCCCTGCGGTGATGGACTATAACCTGGAATTGTGAGCAGAATAAATCCCTTTCTCCAGGAAGGTGGGGTTCTGTTTGTTTTGGTTGCAGTCGGGGTATTTTAGAATGAAACTGGGATAGCTAGGATAACACAGTTTTTGCTCTCCCCTTCCCTTGTTTTTTTTTTTTTCTTGAGACAGGGTTTCTCTGTGTAGCTCTGTCTGTCCTGGAACTTACTATGTAGACCAGGCTGAACTCAAACTCAGTGATTTGCCTACCTCTGCCTCCCAAATACTGGAATTAAAGGTGTGCGCCCCAATCGCCCCATATGCAGTTTTAAAGTGTGATAGTAGGTCTGTGGAGAACTTTTCTAAGTGTCAAAACTAGGCTTCTACTCTAAAAATATCACTTTCTGCCTCTAGTTAATCAATTGACGTAGCTAAGAGACTGCAACAGGCCAAAGGACTCGTCTAAGGACTCAAGAGTGTGACGATGGGAGAAGTGAGGACAGTGAAAAAGAGAACATATCTTGAAAATAGTGTAGGTGCTTGACAAGCCCTAGTAACTGATTGCACTTAAGGAACTATGGGAAAGAGAAGATTAAGGACGCCTTTGGGTTTGTGCAACCACAGTTGCAGATGAACGTTGTAGATCACACAGAGGCAGGAGCAGAGGCGCAAAGGTCAGTTAGGGTACTGGGGAACAACTGGGTTTTGTGTTTTTATGGGAAGGAGACAGCTTTTGCTGTTAAAAGAAACCACCTTTTAGGTATGTTAGCATCTGGATGTTCATTTGGCCTTGGAGTAGTCCGACAGACAAGCACCATCAAGATCTGGAATGAAAGGGAAAGGCCTGGGCTGAAGATAGAAATCTGAAAGGTATTTATAGACGGACGGGCCATAAAATGTATTAACTGGATGAAGTAAGTCTTATCTGGGAAAGACTGCACAGAAAGGGAAAGGCAGAGAGGATAAGCGGTCTTGCATCATGAGAAAGAAAATCCAATGTAAAAGGAAAAGCAAAGAGGCTGCTACCACAAGAGCCCAGAACAGTGTTTCAGGAAGGACAGGTACAGCTAGGAATATTTGGTCTAGCATGCCTGAGGACCTAGGTTCAAACCCCAGCTTTGGGAGGAGGGATTGATATACTATTTCACAAACTATTCAAAGACTGAATCATTAGGTTTGACCAAATGCAAGCCTTGAAAACTACCATTTTATTTAATCCCCAGGGATTAAAAACCCATTTCTGGGATCTGAAGGAGCAATGAAGAGGAACAGGCCACAAATCTGAATCTGCCTTGCCGCCTCTGGGGGAGTTTTTACAGAAAAAAAATGGGTAAGAGCAGAAGGGAGAAGTAGAGTTAAGTAAGGAGTTTTAGAACTGGGGACTGGACTGCCAGAAAAATGGTTCAGTGGGTAAAGGTTTGCCACCACGTCTGATGACCTGAGTTTGATCTCTGGGACCTCTGTGGTGAAAAGAGAGGACCAACTTTCCAAAGTTGATCTCCACATGTAAGATGAGGACATACATGTACACACACACACACACACACACACACACACACACACACACAGACTTAGTAGTACAGCATATGTTTAGCATTTGGAAACTCTGGACTCAGTCCCCAGCTTCTCTCCACCCAAACTGGGTAAGATTCCAATAGGAGTGACTACAAAGAAAACGAGTGGTTATGATCCTGGCACTTAGGAGACAGGAGCAGAGGGATCCTAAGGCCAATACCAGCCTAGGCCATATAGTTCAGGTCCTTGGCTGTAATTCTTAGGACAAAAGCAAAAGATGGCAAGATGCTATGTAAAATAAACACTTCTGTAAAGAATTTTATTTTTATTTTTTGTGTATGAATGTTTGCCTGTATGTATACATGTACATATATATCTTGTGCTTGCTTGGTGCCCAGAGAGGAGGCTGCTGGATCTCCTGGAACTGGAGTTACAGATGAATATGAGCCAGCATGTGTACCTGGGAAGCAGGCTCTGTCCTCTGGAAGAGCAACAACTCCTGGTAACAACTAAGCCATCACTCTCATTTTTCTTTAAAGTGGGAAAGAATGGTCATTGAAAGAAAGAGGCTAGCTGGGTGGTGGTGGTGCACGCCTTTAATCCCAGCACTCACGAGGCAGAGGAAGGTGGATCTCTGTGAGTTCAAGGTCAGCCTGTTCTACAGCGCGAGTTCCAGGACAGGCTTCAAATCTATAGTGAAACCCTGTCTTGAAAAACTATAATAATAATAATAATAATAATAATAATAAGACTAGTTTAAGAATGTTGAGAAATAACTTCTGGACATACGAAGTTTTGTGAGATATAAGCAAAAACTGCCTTCGTTAAAAATACAAGTGACTTGAGCAATAAAATACAATAATAGCCCTTAAGAAAAATGATACATTTTACAAAGAAACAATGCAACTCATTGACACTAGCTAAGTTATCCTGTGTTAAATTAACAATGTTTTACCTTGCCAAGATTCTTGGCACTTTCATTAACTTAAATTAAGTTGGGAAAAACATAATAGTAATTGAAAAAGCAACTAATTATAAGTAATTATAAGTCAAATAATATTTAGACCACAATTAGTGTTTGAGGTGGTTTAGTAGGCAGAGTCTTTATTTCAATAAGCAACCATCAAATAATTGAATAGCTTGTAAAACACAGAAATATTCCTTTAATCTTTATTCCAAGTATAACCACATCCCTCCGTGAATGACTATTATAATAAATAAGTAACATTATATTTTATCCTAATCCCCACTTCGAGTTAGATGTTTTTAAAATCATGGCAAAAGCCTACTCACCTACCTCATCTCATCTCATGGAGACTGTGACTCCATGCCCTTGGAAGAGAAGAGCTAGCCTTCAGGGTAGTAGAAAGCAAATTTCAGCAGTGTGTTTTCTCTGACAATGGGGAAAGGTCACTTTGTCTTTGACAATGATAGTTTTTAATTTTACAAGATAGGGGACTTCCCCCACCCCACCCCAGTATTCCCAAGTAACTAATAACTTTGTTACCATCTTTTACTACTTAAGATAAATAACTAATTCAACTCTTGACCCCTGATTTATGCTTTAGCTTCCCATAAGTGAAAAGTCTCGGCACTGTTTATTATACTATTATTATATATCCTTGAATATCCTTCTTAGGTATTTGAGACAGCACTGTAAATTCGCGGGGTGGTGGTGGTTGAGAGAAATACTTTCAATTAGTTCATCTCTTTAAGAATAGTCAAAGACAAAAATTGCCAAACAATCTCGTGTTATGCTTAATAAAGCTAGTTCCTGGAAAGTTTTGCAAACTAAATCTCCACCCGTTGACCTAACACATCACGGGGTAATAAAGGTGGCTGCGACACCCCGCCAACTCCCAACCTAGGCGAGGCACACGGTGGGAGGTAGATAGCGCCGGAGCCCTCCAAAGCTGGGCGCCACATTGCTCCTCTCTTTTGAAATAGGAAGACAACGCTTCTGGCTATTGTGTAAACCCGTCGAGAGCTGCATTCATTCCCACATCAGATAAAGCACGAGCAGAATTAAAACGCATTCCAGTCCGACCCCGGGCAACGCGTACGTCACTGACAAACGCTGAGTTTTATTGCCTTGGCTGCATTTGCCTTGGCTGCGTTCGTCTCGAGGAGGCACATGAAAGAATGGTTTCAAAAAGAAAAAAAAAAATCTAACAAACAAAACCCCAAACCCCTTGGCTGAAGCCGGGAATTCATAGGATCAAAGCCACACGCCGCCCGAGCAGTGGTCACCGCCCCCGCCGAGCCCCGCAGACACCCCTCAAGGCTCCCTCGTGTTCTCTGTTAACCAGCTGTCTGCAGCGGGGGACAACCTTGTCTAGCTCCCGCTCTCCCCAACAGCTCCACAAGCAACCCCAGCTTCCCAAGTCCCCAGCCGGACTACAGTGCGGTCTCCCGCTCAAGAAACAGCGGCCGCTCCATCTGCAACCAAGCTGGTAGTCGCCTGCACTCCCAGTAGGCCCGCCGCCAGCCAGCCGGCGCTCGGCGACGTTTGACTGACACGCTGCTGCTCCTATGAGGCCCCGAGGGCGGGGTTATGGCGTCACTTCCTGGCCTGTTGGGGAGGATGCCTTATATAAGGTCTGCGCTCACGCAGAGCCCTCGCTTACACAGTATGGCCGGCGACATTAGCTAGCGCTCGCTCAACTCTCTCTAACGGGAAAGCAGCGGACTACAAGAGACTGAACTGTATCTGCCTTTATTTCCAACAGACTCACGTTCAACTTTCGCTCACAAAAATAGCCGGGAAAATTTTATTAGTCCTTTTTTTAAAAAAAGTTAATATAAAATTATAGCAAAAAAAAAGGAACCTGAACTTTAGTAACACAGCTGGAACAATCCGCAGCGGCGGCGGGAGAAGAGATTTAATTTAGTTGATTTTCTGTGGTTGTTGGTTGTTCGCTAGTCTCACGGTGATGGAAGCTGCACATTTTTTCGAAGGGACCGAGAAACTGCTGGAGGTCTGGTTCTCCAGACAGCAGTCCGACGCCAGCCAGGGATCTGGGGATCTTCGCACCATCCCAAGGTGGGTGCGGGGGACCTGGGAGGTGCGGCGAGGTTCGGGGCTCGGCCTCAGGTGGGGCCAGGTCGGCGGGCGGGAACTGGCTTCTCCCGCCGCCGCCGTTGCGGGGCCGCCTGGGGGAGGGGAGGAGGCCGGCGCGGCCGCGTGCTTCA